ATCTAATCAAATCGAAAGTTTGGGCGAAGAATCTAATCTAACCTAATCCTAAACAACCAACCAAGTGGTTGGGAGATCGCTAGAAATGAGTCGGTTGCCTAGGGTTGAATCCTCGTAGTTGTGGTTGTCATATAGGGTTAAGATAATGGGAGTGAGTGAACTCTTCGTGGTTCGTTGTGATTATCCAAGTATGCCTCCAAGTATGCCTCCCCTAAACCCATGCCCTTCAACTTGATCTAGGCTATCATATATGGGGTTTTAAGAATATAGCTCCTTTCAATGGGTACCACCCATCGTCCACACCAAGGTTTCATCTCGGGTTCCATCTAGGTAGGCATTCTTATGGCAGGGGTATTGTCGCCTCGTCCACCATAAGATCCTATTCATTCATCTAACCCTAATCTGCCGGATGGCGCATACCCGTCTAATCCTAAAACTCCATACCCAACATAGAAGCTCAAGTAGGCTAGTGGAGAAGATTAGGGCGACTTACCCAAGCACAACTAAAGCTGGAGAAGCATTAAAATCAACTAGATAAACACATTCATACAAAACAAAGACATACAAAACCTATAAACTAGAGGTTCATCTTCCCTAAACAACCATTAGAGATTCAAACCATAGAGAGAGAAAGAAAACACAAACTAGAAGAGAGGGAGAGATGGAATCAATCTTCTTCTCCTTGATTTCACCTTCTTCTTGCTCCTTGGGTGGATGGGATCTTCAATGAAGCTCTCCCAAGGTGTTTCCTTCTCTAAAACAGTCCAAAATCCTAACTTTCTCACTCTAGAGCGGCTCTCTTTTGTTAAGTGCTGAAAAAGGGAGTATTTATAGGTAACTGGTAGTGGTCAAGGCCAGGTCTCAAGGTCACTGTCATAACCTAGCTGTGACCAGTCTGGAACATCTACAAATCGCAAGAAACGACGCATTTATTCACATCTTCAAGTTCCGAGATCGCGGCCTCCTTCATGAGATCACGACTACGATCATTTTCGCGGTCGAAAAGCACCAAGACCGCCACTCAGGTGTCAAAACTTTCTGCCCTTAACGGTTGCCTTATGAATTTCTAAGGCACTGTTCAAGACCCGATCTTCAAGGCGAACATGGTCACGGCCGTGACGAGGCCGTGACCTGTGCCTTTTTTCTCTTCTTGCTCCTATGCTTCCCATCATGTTCGGATGAACTCCGATCGATTCTCGATCAATCCGAGATGAAAATAAAACCTGGAATTTCATCAAAAACACTGGAAAAAGTATAAAATACAACAAAGTGAGGTCGATTCCCCTATGAAAACCTTCAAATCTAGAATACCTTTCCCAAAATGCATGTTTTGCAAATAGGAATGAAAATAGGCATGAATAACTTAACATGCAAAATCCTTAAGAATAAGGGTTAACCAACTCCTATTTTAGGTGTTATCATAAGGTCTATCTTTTGCATCAATCTCTCTATTGACTCAAACAGGCACCCCATGCGCGATTTGAGAAGTTTCGGTCTACCATCCTCCCTCTTGGTTTTCAGCAGAACCTCAATGATCAATCCTTATTTGTGAAGAAGTCAGCAGATGGTACTGTGATGCTTTTTCTCTATGTGGACGATATGGTGATTACAGGTGATGACACAGTGGGGATCAGCCAACTAAAAGGCATACTTCGGAACTCCTTTCAGCTTAAGGATTTCCGAGAGCTTTTTTACTTTCTTGGCTTGGAGGCTTCTCGCAACTCGAAGGGAATTCTGCGTAGTCAATGAAATTATATTGCATATTTTCTTAGGGAGCATAACTTTGAGTACTCTAGGCCGGTGTCTACCCCTATGGAGCTAAATCTGAAGCTCATTAAAGATTTTAGAAAAAAGTTGCCTGATGGATCATAGTATTGGAGCATAGTAGGCAGTCTCATCTATCTCTCTGCGCCTCATCCAGACATTTCTAATGCTGTAAAGCTTGTGAGCCAGTTAATGACTGGTCCATGTGTAGATCATTTGTCTACATTGCACCGTATTCTACTCTATTTGCAAGGAATATGTGATGTCAGATTATGGTTCCCTTGTGATAGTTCGACCTCCTTGAGTGCATATTCAGACTCGAATTTGCAGGGTGCGTTGATACCATGACGTTCTACTACGCGGCGGTGCATCCAGTTTTATGACGCTTTATATCTTGGTGATGTAAAAAGCAAGACAAGGTTTCAAAATCATATACTCATAACACCAGATTTACACATATTTTTCTCGCCATTTCTTAATCATTTGGCTTGGCATTTGACTGCTTTTTGGCCTATTTAATGCTAAGTAGTGCTTGTTGATGATGTTTCAAGTCCTAGTACGTGAATGGGGGCTTAGGAGCAAGTTTGGATGCAATTGGAGAGTAGAGGGGACTCGAAGGACAAAGCATCCAAATCCACGGTCTGAGAGTCCAAATACACAACTGTGGATCTTTAGTTTGAATCGTGGATTTTGATCATGGATATTCCACGGTCTGATGTCTATATTCCACGACCAAGGATTTATCTGGGCCGATCGTGGATTTCCTACAAGGGCCACTTAAGGACACACACCATTTTAAAAATTCCAAGGTCTGGAGGCCATTTCCACGACGGTGGATTCCGACCGTGGATTTCAGCATTGTGGCTTATAAGGCTGAAACTCGAGATTTTGGCAACACATCAGGTTTTGCATGTTCTGAAACAGCTAGAGAGAACCATAGAGAGAGTAAATGACGAAGAAAAACCTTGGAAAATGATTGGAGTGATATAAGTATATTGGAGTTCGATCTTTCACCCTCGGAGTGTCGATTTCTAGTCTAGAGTAGATTCTTATCCCTCAAATGATGATTTCTTCTTCAAGTCTTGTGTTTTTTCTTCTCCCCATGGAGTAAGAGATAGACCTAGGACCAGGGTTGACAAATAGAACCTGAGCCATTATACTACATTACTAGACTGCGATTACACTTGGTCTTAGTTTATTTGTATTGGTTTTAGCGAGTCATCTACAAAGGCAGAATAACGAGCGATGGATTATGTGGTTTCTGAGATGGTCTGGTTGTGCCGTCTGTTGGGCGATATGGGTGTGGTTTGTTCCGTTCCGATGGACTTCTTTGTGGATAACACCAGTGCGATACAGATTGATGTGAATCTTATTCTTCATGATCGCACTAGACACATCGAGATTGTAGTGAACTATGTCCAAGGCATGGTTCAAGATGGTATAGTGGTTGTTCATTACATTCGGTCCGAGGATCCAGTTGCAGACTTGCTTACTAAATCATTTTCTATGAGCCGACATTGGTATCTTACTAGCAAATTGATGCTCAGAGATTCGCATCAATTTGGGGGAGGTTGTTACCGTATCCGTACTCTATCTTGTATTAGAAGTTTGTATATATGTACTATAATTGATCCATTTGTCAGTGAACCCATTTAATGTGTGATGCAGCCCATGCACGTAGGAGTGAGGGAGAGTCTAACCGTAGTTGGGTGGAGATATATATTCCATGTATGCGAATGATAAATTAACGAACAATGAATGCATGGTGAATTCGGCGGCTTGAAGAGGACAACTCTTACGTGGATTAGTCCTAGAATTTCAGTGATACCAAGTTAAATTTGTGTGTCTTGCGTTTATTGTTATTTCCGAATTGTTATCAGAACCTGGTCAAAACAGGGATGAACACAAAATACAAATTGATTTGTCGATTGATTCGTCTAGTGTTGACGTTGTAAACCTTCAATTTACATGAAACCCTAAGATCGATAGAACAACATGATAATCACATAAAATAGAAAAGAGATTAGAAGAATACCTCCTTCCATGGTGATTGAGAGAGAGCTTATGAAGAAGTAGCAATGTTGAATTTTGGGATTCTCTCTCCTAGCCTATAAGTCACTTGATATATGTGTTTCTTACGATATGCTATTGTGATGGTCCAAAGCATAAAATTTATAGGTGGAGAGAGGACCAAAATTCCTATTAAGTTTTATCTTTACACTTCATCTCAACCATCCATCATGGAAGAGTTACAATAGGAACATAACTCTTTGGAGTTATTAATCTTTGATAACTCCTTATTCTTATAACCAATTGAATAAAATGTAACACTCCTATTCCTTTCATAACTCATTGGTTTCATAATAGATCATATTAAGGATGAGATAACTCTCTTGCACTAAAAGTTATCTTACAGACGTTGCTCATTTCAATAATTAGTTTCAAGAGAACCTTTTCAGCAATAAAACATGTGAAAACATATTTGCAAAACAAAAAGAGCGGTGAATTTATCGTTGATTGCTTAACTATTTTCTTTGTGAGAGAGTGTGCTATTGGTATGGATGAAGACTCAATTATGAATGAATTTGCTAAATTAAAATACCATCGCGTACAATTGAAATTGTAATGAAAACAATAGTTATTATATATTTGTGTTTACGGTATTTAATTTTCAATTTAAATGTGACACAATAGTACTCTACTATGTTTTAGGAGCACTTCTACTATGCTATATAGTATTGGTGCTTTAATGTACAACTTAAAGTTGTACCATAACATTAAATGTATAAGTTTAGGTTGTACCATAAAGCAATTTGTACCATTATGTTATGGTACAACTTTACAACTTGAAGTTGTACCATCACATAAACGTACAAGTTCAAATTGTACCATAAAAGAATTTGTACAAAAAGTATAGGTACAATCTGAAGTTGTACCATAACGTAAATGTACAATTTTAAGTTGTACCATAAAGGCAAAATCTTATAGCATCAATACTATATAGCATTGTAAAATTTCTCATGTTTTAGATCCGTCGCTGGAATCTTGAGTATAGATTTCACGATAATGCATGAATTTATATCATCATATCATACTAATGTTACCCAGTAAAATTAAACTCTTGATGAATAAAGACTACATTTAATTTTCTGTTTATATGAAAACTATGCACTCATTTCTTTATTAGTGCACCTAGAAGTCACCTGTATATATGCCACATATATCTTATACATCAATTTAAGCCGTTATACTCGAATAAAAGTCGGTGTTATTTTGTTTTTGGTTGGTTTGTTGACAATTAATTAGCGGGTGGTTCATTCGAGTTCATTATGGGAACAGCTGCAACTGCATGCCACATGGTGAAGCATATTGTATATATTAAACTATTGTGGGTGTTAACATTGGGGTTGGGGTGATGAACAAAAAGAATTTGCAAGTTCAAAACATATGGAGAAGCGAATGTCTGGTGGAGGAAGCTAAAGTCGCTCTTTATCCCATGCATGCATTGACTACCTCTAACCCTCTCTCTTTGATTAACTCCTCTCCCTCTCCCACTATTAACGTTTCACCATTTTCAATGATCTCTGGCCCTTGGAGCCGGCACCGACTCGTCCTAGTAAATAAATAAATACCCTTCATTTTGAGATCTCAGTATAGTTCTCTTCAACTACTACACTACTTCCTCTCTTTCCTTGGCTTCTGTCATTTATTTACCTCTGCGAAAAGCTGGACGTACCACAACAAGTTTTCATCAGCAGATTAAGATTAACAATGGGTGTGATCGTGATGTTGAGGAACCTGTTCTTCACCGCTTTGCTGATCATCGCCAATATTGCTCCTATGGTTGTGTCTTCTCCTGATGGTCTCCCTGCTGTCGCCACTACTCATGTTGCTACCCACTTGGGAGAGGTATGGTAATCATTCAGTCAATCACTCCAGAGTAGTCATTAATTAGAGTTATAGAGATCAATTCAATTTTACATGTTTCTTTGAACCGTACGTAGGGAGCAACTCGGGATGGTAGTGTAAAGAGAAATGCTGTGAAGGAGGCCTCAACAACAGCAAGCATTAATACTGACGAGGGACAGCAGTATGAGCATAAGATGGAGAAGAAGATATTGGGAAGGAAAGCAGCAGGAGGTGGCAGATTTGGTGCAGCAGCTGCTTCGGAATTTGCTTCTACTACTGCATCATCCACTGCTGGCTTTGTTGCTTTCACTTCTGATTATCACTCTCCAAGGCATCACCCACCGAAAAACAACTAACTACCTAATTAATTACTTAGCACCTCCATTTTTGCTTACCTTATTACCTAGCTACCTCCATAGCTAGGTTTATTTCGTACGTGTCAGTTATAACTATATATCAGCATATAGATAATGTTATGAATGTCGATGATCGAACAGGCCTTTCTTTCGGTTTTTGCTTCTGTAGATCACTCTCTCTCTCTCCTGCTTATGTACTCTGCTCTTTGAGGATATAGTTTTCCCATGTCAGTGGTAAAAGTAAAATAGAGTAACCTGGTTTGCAAACTTCTCTTCTTTCATTTCTTTCTCAGCAATATATTATAAACGAGGCTCCAGTTTTCACCTATCTCAGACTCAATTTTTAAGAAAATGTGTTGAGGTCGAGTTTGCTTCGCTTATTAAAACATTGGCTCTAGCTCGTCTCAATTAATGAGCTCACGAGTTCTATTTCGAGTTTGCTTCATCAATCAACTCACGAGCTAAATTATTTCTCTAAATGCTTCAGCCCCTAAACTCTAAAATAATCTATATACATGTAATGGATGCCATTATTCCATCACTAATTATTTTCATGTTCATATCATATTTAGGTCAGAAATTTTGAATAGTTCATATAATATTAATTTATATTTAAATAATCTATAATAAATAATTTGTCTTCCGACTTATAAATGAGACATATTTGGTTATATATTCAAAGTCTTAAACTATCATACGAATTATATTTGGTTATATATTCACAATCTAAATGTACGAATTATAAGCAAAGCAACTCGTAAGTTATAGTTCGATTCGTTATTATATCTCTAGTCAAGTCGGCTCTGTAGTGTTGGCCACATGTCGGACAACGTACGAGTTGAACTCTACAAGCCACCAAATCAAACCGGTCGATCACGAGCGTTGCGAAGTAGATCCACCAACCCCACGCACCACTTCGTCTCTCCAGGGCTAGGCGCTCGCTCGCACTCGCTCAGTGAGTTTACAAGTCGAGTTGTCGTCCACGTAGAAGATCTGCTTCTGCTCGCCGAGCTCAGGTTACTGTAGCCGACGAAGGTAACTGCGCTAGTATCTGGCTGCTGAAGTAAGTTTCACTTCTTCCATGTTTGGTTCCCCTTTTATTTCCATTTTAGCTTCCCTTGTTTCTCCGATCTGATTGAAATTGACCTAAATTGAGTTTGTTCCAGACTGATTGAAATTCCCTTCGAACCCTAATTAATTTTGGTCTTGAATGTTCTAAGGTTCTTGAGTTGGCTGGGAATGTTGTCCATGACAACAAGAAGAACAGGATTATCCCTCGCTATGTGTTGCTGGCCATCTGGAACGATGAGGAGCTCGGAAAGTTGCTTGTCGGAGTGACCATTGCCCACGATGGTGTTCTCCCCAACATCAATCCAGTGTTGTTGCCGAAGGGCAAAGATCTATAAACAGAATATGGATTTTGTGATTGTAGAAAATCCAACATGATTCTTATTAATGATTTGTGAAACTAATATACAGGTTGTAGAGGAAAAGTAGACACACGTAGCAACTGAAAGCTAGCCACTTCCCACAAAGTCAGAAAATTAGTGGGAAGAATAAGAAAATAAAATGAAAATCATTTATATCTAATATGCCCCCGCAAGACGGAGGAGGTATCAATGACTCCGATCTTGGCTCGAAGCAAAAGAAAGCGAGTGGCATATAGAGGCTTGGTGAGAGCACCAACGAGCTGGTGTGTCGTGGGAATGTATGAGATATGAAGACAACCAGCTTGGACGAGTTGGCGAACAAAGTGATAATTAAGCGTTGTGAAAGACCGGGTTGGAGCTGAAGTAGGTAGCACCAAGGTTATCAGAGTAAAGAGTAGGGGCGACAGCTAGTGGGTGACGGAGCTCATGAAGAAGATTTTGCACCCATTCTAACTCTGCAGTGGCATTGGAAATGGCACGATACTCGGCCTCAGTACTGGAACGAGCGACTGTTCGTTGTTTTTGCGAACACTAGGAGATGAGGGTGGATCCGAGATAAACAAGATAGCCAGGGGTGGAGGAACGGTCATCGAGGTTACCCTCAGTCAGCATCCGCAAAACCAGACACAGAGAGAGCACTAAGTGATCGACGAATGGAGAGACCATAGGTGAAAGTACCATAGATATAGCAAAGTAGCCGCTTAACGCACTACCAATGATACGTTGTCGGAGCATGCATATACTAAGAGAGCTTGTTAACAGATTACGCAATGTCTGGACGTGTATATACAAGAGGAATCGAGTAGCATCTGTGGTTAGACTATCATCAGTGAGAGTGAGGGAAGTGGAAGCAACAAAAGGAATGTCAACAGACTTGGCATCGGTCATCAGAAAACGTTGGTGAACATCAGCCATGTTCTTATGTTGTGAGAGAATATACCCGGCGGTGGTGGGGATAATTTCAATGCCTAGAAAATAATTGACATCCCCGAGTGCCTTGAGGGAAAACCGTGTGGAGAGGGCCTCCTGAAAAGTGGAGAGGACGGCAGTATCATTCCCGGCGAACAGGAGATCATTGACGTTGACCAAAATAGAGGAGCGTACGCCCACGGGAATAAACGAAGAGAGAAGCATTAGAGTGCGTCTTGCTGAAGCTGAACTCAAGAAGAAAATCCGTCAAAGCAATATACCAGGCCCGAAGAGCTTGACAAATACCATAAATAGCTCGACGAAGACGACAAACATGAGTGGGCCAGTCAGGATCAACAAAGCCATGAGGCTGAGCCATATAAACTTCCTCGTGTAAGGGAGCCTACAAGAAAGCATTATTGACATCGAATTGAGTAATCGACCAATTGTGAGAGAGCCCGGAACGAATGTGTCATGAAAGTCAAGCCCGGAACGCTAATGAAACCCCTTGGCGACCAAACGCGTCTTGTAATGTTCTATAGCACCATCAGAATGATGCTTAACACGAAATACCTAGCGGTTGCCGAGAACATTATAGTGAGGAAGTCGAGGTACTAATTCCCAAGTAATATTAGCCAGAAGAGCGTTATTCTTAGCGAAAAGAGCATTCCGCCATTCAGGATATCGCATGGCATCCTTGACTGAAATAGGCTGTAGAGGAGGCGGTCCAGCCGGCAATTGAATATTAAACAGGCGCTTGGGCTTGAAAATGCCGGACTGGGCCCGCTTGCGCATCACTACAAGATAATTCTCTTTTAGCGACGAAATAATTCATCGCAGAAAAGCTGTAAATCCGTCACAAAATGGTTTCCACGATGATTTACGTAATTGCAAAGGGAAACAACCCTTCGTTGCATATATAGCGTAACAGAAAGTTCTGCGACAGAAAAAATGGGTTCGTCACAGAGAATGTCAAATTCGTCGCAGAAAGTTGGTGATTTTGCGAACATGTCGTTGCGGAATGATCACTTGGCGACGACCAGAACTACTTTGCAGAAAAATTGTTATCAGCGACGGATGCTTCGTCACAGAAATGAAAATTTAGCAACGAACTGATTCATCATAGAAGGTGAAACATTTAGCAACGGAGATTTTTTATTTTGAAGCAATAAACAAATCTCTTTTTTTTAAAAATTTATTTTCTATATCATTTTAGTATAGGTCCCATTAATTTTGTTGTTTAATGCGATAGTAAATCATAAAAAAAGTAACTCAACATGAGGTTTTCGCTCCGAAAATTTAGGAGTGGCGATTCTCCTCTTGTCGACGAAGGCTAGGGTTATGCTCGTCTCTCATGTCGGCAGTAGGCATGCCGCTGGATGGGAGGACTTCGGACAGTGCCATGCTGTCGGAATCAATGACCGGTCAGCGTCTACCACTATCCCAATCCTCTTCCCCCAACCCTAAGGGGGACCGAGAATCTCAGCAAACAAAAAAGCGAGCCAAAGCTACGGTGATAATACCAGACAATAATTCCGACCGTGATGAGATGCTCGAGGATGGAACAACGGGCAACCGCATCAACCCAATATTTCATCCCCTCGTCAAGCTGCAGGGGGATCACCGCGGTGGAGGAGAAAAGGTTATTCAGAGACAACGTGAGAACAGAAGATGTGTGGTACATAGCGACTAGTGGGTGATAACTACCTCACGGTGCACCAATGCACCCAAGATTATAATCCATACGAGCATGCAATCTCGTCGACACTGGTCTAGGCTAGAATATTGGAGATTCCGATCCACTACTTCCATCCAGTTGCGGTTATGAGGATTGGGGAACGCATCGGGAAACCAATTCGTGTGGACCATGCCACTAGCACGGGAGCCCGCAGTGACTACGCTCGTGTTTGCGTCTAGGTTGACATCACAAAACCGCTGCAATCCATGTTCACTATAAATGGGAAGAAGTACTTCATTCAGTACGAGGGTCTTGAGAAGATATGCCTTCAGTGTGGGACGTACTTCTCGATAGAGCACGTTGCTCATGCTCAAAACCGGGAGATGAAATGGAAGCGGATGGGACCCCCTACACCGCCCCCACAGCCAGCTGATAAGCCCACCGAAGTGTATGGGGAGTGGATGGTCGCGAAGAAGAAGCCGCGACCTCGAAAAGCTGGGAGTAGCTCAGAGGTAGGGGGCGAAGGAAGTAAGGGGAGAGGCCAGGTGGTGAATAATCCAAGTGGTTCTCGTTTTAGTGCCCTTGATGTCGAGGATACCGCCGAGCCCTCCACTGCGATAACACAAAGGGCAAATGCTTCTCCTGGGTGATAAGGGTAAGAGTAAGGCAGGGAGCAAGCTGAGTGAGGACTAACAAGTGAAAATAGGGTCAGAGATACAGATATTGCGCAGAGAGATCCCTGCTTCACAGATGGCTCACTCCTACTATCACTCTAGAAAATGGCCAAGTGTAACCACTTCCTAAAGCGTAGTATAGCGGGTTTGGGTTTTAATGTCAACCCGGTTCCTAGATGTTATGACTACTCAGCGAATTCTTATTATCTAGCGGTGAAACTTTAGTGCAAGTTCAAACAAGCAAACAAGTAAAGCAAGCAATTAAACGGTTGTTTTCAAGTCGAGAGAGGTCACCCGGATATGATTCCCCCTAGACTGTAGTTAAGACGGATTGTAATTTACCAAGTTCAGTTTTAATGATAGTTATACTGCAGGAGGTTCTTAACCAGTCTGAAGTCTCGACTAAAGGTCTCCAGACCCTCTCAATCTGAGTCCCCGGCGGGCGACTAACCTCCACCGGAGTAAACAGATTGAGGCCCTAACGAACCAAACCTCCACTACCGAAGTAAATTCGGTATAGAATAGTGAATTGGCTCCTCGACTAAAGTCGCCAATTCACCACCTTCAATTAAGGGTGCTCTATCAACCTAGGCAGATATTCTCTTACTAGGTCAAAGCAGAAATAACAAGAATTTGATCAGGATTCATGCCATTCAATCATTCAAACCTCAATTGAATATAATCAAATCATAGAATCTATACTTGGGTTCATACAATCAGACCTAACATACAAATCTAGGGTTCTCCATACCCAGATGAATAAGAAAACTACTCCATGGAGAGAGAAGCAAAAGCAGATTCAGATGTGGAAACCATAATATGAAGGATGGTTTTCTGCTACTGGTCGTCAATCGGCACTTCTCCAAGCTCAAGCCGGGCTCCAATGGTGATGAAGATCAAGCTAGGTCACTTGGGAACTCTGGTTCGTCACTTTCTCTCTCTAGGAATCCCTTTGTCTCTCTAAAACTCGGAACCCCTTCTCCTTTGGCTCAAATCTGCCTAAAAGGCCGACCCTGGGCAAAACACGGTCGAGGGCACGGCCGTGCTTTGGTTTTGCCCGCCCGTGTTTTGCCCCGTGTTAAAAGCACGCCCGCGTCGGCCAAAACACGATCGTGCCTAAATATGGACACGACCGTGTTTTGCTTTAGGCCAGCCCGTGTTTTGCTTTTCCATCAGTTCAGCTCTCGGCAATAAAAACACTAGCGTGCCTGTTTGTGTACACTGACGTGTTTTGGTTTAGGCCAGCCCGTGCTTTGGCCCCAGCTCGACAGAATGACTTCCAAATGCCCTGAAACTCGTTCTTAGCCTTTCCTTCGACGTCTGGGACCTGAAATATAACAAAGTAGCACAACCCGGCATAAAACGAGCCAAAAATACACGACTACTAGCCGCAAACGGATAAGAACTAAGGTTGCAAACATGTGCAAATACATCGTTATCAACAGACAACATATGATACTGCTGCAACTCGCCAGAATGGGGGAGACGCCTCAAAAACTGTGTCGCTCAGGGGGTAGAAGCTACATCACTAATCCCACCTGAGTCGTCTCGGGGAACTAATGAGCATATGAGAGATGAGACAACCATGGACACCACGCCTACAGTAGACGCGGAGTTGACAAATCCAAAGAGTAACAATAATAATTCACCACCTTTTGTTCCTGGAGACGCAGCTGTAACGAGAGTGGGACAGGAAGGAAAGCAGCGGATTGTGCCATCAAATGTGAAACTACCGGAGAACCCCAACGATGGGGCTGCCCCGATCAAAGTGTAACTACTGGTTTCCAGCGAGGACCTCTCGTCCTTCACGTCCATAATGGTTAGTCTGTTTGCATGGAACTGTAGGGGAGCAGGAAGCAAGCGTTTTCTGCGCGCCTTTAGAGAATACAAGAGGAAGTACAAACCCGACATTATGATCATTGTTGAACCAAGGATCAGTGGCACCAGAGCTTAGGAGTTAAGACAAGACCTCGGCTATGATGGCAAGTTGGTAGTGGAAGCTGTGGGTTTCTCCGGTGACATCTGGTTGACCTAGAATTCGTCTCAGGTGACTATTACGGAGGAGGATAGGTCTCTCCAAATGCTTCATGTCAAGGTGGTGGAAGGTCAGTCGAGTTGGTTTCTGACTGGTATCTATGCCAACCCAGCCTTGGTACAAAGACCTGAATTATGGCAATCCATGAGAAACTTGGCCGAAACTATGGAGGCCAAGAGAATTCTTGCGGGCGATTTTAACTCGATACTTCAGTCGGCTGACAAGCGTGGTGGTGCTCATTTTGATGCCAGTCGGGCCGGAAAATTCCAAGACTGTGTCATCGATGTCGGGCTACATGACCTGGGGTTTGTAGGGCCACATTTTACGTGGTTCAGGTCTGGGACTATGGAACGCCTTGATCGGGGTCTCTCTAACTTAGCATGGACAACGGCATTCCCTGAAACTACTATGCAACACATCCCGCGGATTAAAAGTGACCACATGCCCCTCCTGATGAAGTTGAAGCCGAGCTTCCCACCTGCAGGGCCGAAGCCGTTCAAGTTCCTAGCGGCTTGGTTGACGCACGAGGAATTCTCGGAGATGGCGGAGCATGCATGGGGTCGTGGCATAGACCTTCTTTCGGCAATGGCAGAATTTGTAAATGCAGCCATGGCCTAGAACCGGGACAAGTTTGGCCATATTCTAAAAAAGAAAAATTCTCCCCTAACCAAGATTGAGAAGCTGGAGCAGAGAGCAGGCAGTGAACCAACGGATGACAGGCTTCGATTGGCCAGAGGAGAGAGTTGGAGCAAATCCTCCTTGAGGAAGAACTGTTGTGGTGCCAGAAGTCGAGACTAGAATGGATCGTGTCAATCGATAGGAATAAAAAGTTCTTTCATTCAAGAACAGTCAGTCGCAGGCGGAGAAATCGGATAACGGCCTTGAAGAATAATACAGGGTAGTGGGTCGAGGACCAGGATGCCCTCCTTGAATTGGCCGGCACCTTCTTTGCGGAGCTATATACGGACGATGACCAACCCTTGCGTGTCTTAACGGCAGTGTTTGCGGGTCTCCCTTATGATCTTTGGATGCCTCTAGATCGCCAGCTGACCGCGGAGGAAGTACTACAATCGGTGAAATCCATGGGGGCGCTCAAAGCATCTGGTAAAGATGGATCAAACACGATGTTTTATCAGAGATGCTGGAATCTTGTTGGGTCGGCAGTTGTGGATTTCGCTCAGGCATGTTGGAGTGATCCAGCTCGGATCCAGGCAGTGAACGAGACAATACTGGTGCTTATACCGAAGATCCATCGACCCACTCTGATTGAGCAGTTCCGACCCATCAGTTTCTGTAATGTCTCATACAAGATGATAACAAAGTGCTTGGCTGAGCGTCTGAAGCCCCTAATGCCTCGTTTGGTGCATGAAACGCAGACCAGCTTCGTCCCTGGGAGACATATTACTGACAATATTTGTATTTTGCAGGAAGTGGTCCGTTCGATGCGAGCTAAAGATCGACCTTGCTAAGGCCTACGATCGCATCAAATGGAGCTTCCTGCGTAAAACTTTGGAGGTCGTAGGTGCGCCCGGGAAGTTTATTGACCTCACGATGAGCTGTATAACGTCGACCTCGATGCAGGTTTAGTGGAATGGATGGCTAACATAGACTTTCACCCACACGAGAGGGCTCCGACCGGGCTGTCCTCTATCGCCATACCTCTTTACACTCTGTATGGAGAGACTGGGTCATCTCATCTCAGCTGCAGTGGAAGGAGGGCAATGGAAGCCCATCCGATTATCTAGACAGGGACCTGAGCTTTCACACGTATTCTTTGCTGATGACTTAATCCTGTTCAGTGTGGCTTCCCTCACGCAGGTACATGTTATTTTAAGTTGCCTTGATGAATTTGGAGCGGCCTCAGGCCAACAGGTGAGCAGACAGAAGTCAAGGGTTTTCTTCTCCAAAAATGTTACTGCGGGAGAAGGGACCGCTATAAGCAACGCACTGAATATTCCCAAGACGAAAAATTTGGGTCGATACTTGGGAGTACCTGTCATCCACGATCGGGTGTCCAAGGCTACTTACACAGAGCTTATTGATAAGATAGACTCCAGGATGGCGGGTTGGAAGGTAAAATCCTATCAATGGCGGCACGGATCACCCTTGCACAATCAGTCTTGTTGTCACTGCCAGCTTATACTATGCAGACATCGCTCCTCCCGGCATCAGTTAGAGAGTACATTGACAGGAAAGTCAGAGGTTTTATATGGGGAAGCTCTAAGCAGAGCAGGAAAGTACACCTTCTTGACTGGGAAACACTCTGCAAGCCGAGGGACGAAAGAGGTTTGGGTATGTGAAGTGCTACAAGGATGAATGACGCATTTATGATGAAGATCATGTGGCGATTAAACACCGAACAAGATAGACTTTGGGCCAGAGTGATCAGAGGGAAGTACTTTCAAAGAACGACAGATGGGTGGAGGCCTAGGGCGACAGGATGGCTCTCAAACTTATGGCGAGGGGTCTTGCGCGTTCTACGTTACATTCCCGAGGGTACTCTATGGAATGTCAAAAATGGCACGTAAACCTTGTTCTGGGTATATAGGTGGCTTCAGGACGGGCCGCCACTTGCTGAGTTTGCTGTCAATCTCCCGGAGAAGCACGTGGGCTAACAGTGGCAGAGATGGTTCTAAATGGGGAGTGGAACCTCGCCTACATCAGACTCTTCCTTCCCGAAGTGGTGCTCTTGTAGCTTCAACTCCACCCGCCGCCGCAAGAGGAGGGACCGGACGTCCCAACCTGGCGTCTATCCCTGTCAGGATTGTTCACGATAAAGACAACATACTAGCTTACACGGGATGTGGATGATTTGGGTCAAAGTCACCCGGCCTGGAAAGCGGCTTGGAAAATCGAAGGGCCATAGCGTACTAGGACTTTTTGCTGGCTAGTCCTCCATAATCGCCTACTCACTAATGCGGAGAGGAAACGGAGGCATCTAACACAAAATGAGACATGTTCGATTTGTGGCTATCGGGCCGGAAACGACTTTGCATGCCATTCGAGATTGCCCGGGTAAACCAGAAGATCATAGGGCATGGCGGACAGATCATAAGAGATATTTGCTGGCAACGACTGCCGAACGAGTGGGTGTGCCTGAACACTCATAGGTCGGTGGTCGTTTCACATGGGATCTCGGCAGCAGGGGGTATGTTACGGAGCAGTGATGGACGAATGCTAAAGGCCTTTATGATCAACTTGGGATGTGGGTCGATCAATCATGCAGAACTTGCGGGCATTGCGCATGGGCTACGAATGGCTTGGGAGAATGGATATCGGCGTGTGGTCCTATAGACGGCCTCAGCCACGGCCATCTCGCTACTGCAGTCGGGAAGCGACAGCAACCCACATCACACCTTGATTCACACAATCAAGAAAGGGCTAGCTATGGATTGGGAAGTGGATATTCCTCATGTGTTCCGGGAGGGCAATGTCGTGGTAGATCACTTGGCATCGCTTGGCCACAGTCGTCCAGTGGGGTTTCATTTGGTTTCCACCCTTGACCCCATGCTAAATTACTAGTTGTACTACGACACTATCGGGATCCATGCGTCCCGCATTTTCAATAATTAAGGGTTAGAGCGCCCCATGCGCTCTGTTTCTTACCAAAAAAATTGTTGTTTAATCACTTATTACAAATTATTTTGGGGTTTATTACAAATTGTTGACCCCAGTACAGGTTTATCGGTTGCTTTGTTGCTTTAGTCTCCGGTGCCGACCACATCCATCTCTATTATCCTCAATCGAAACAGAAAAAAAGGGGGGGGGGAGCATTCATTAGATGTGCAACCAAAACAAGTAAAACCCAAACAAAAAAAGATGGAACCACACTAGATCTATGTCTTTGTGGACAGTTTGGGGTGAATTGGTGATGATCCATTCCTCGCCGCCGCCGAGATCTGTCTCCCTGTGTATCTTTATAGTCAGTTTGGGGGTAGTTCGACTCCGATGCGATAGTGTACGATGGAGAAGGGGAGACGACGAGAAGCTTTGGGGTTGCCTGTCGTCGTGCGCCACTAGCTTCACATTGTCGCTACCATCATGAATTTGCCCCTTGTGCAAATCGGGACCGGGGAGAATAGAGTAAGCCTCGTTGTAGAAGAAGAAGCAGAAGATGCTCGTACATTTCGTCCTTTGTCGCCGCGAATAGAGAGAGGAAGAGTGAAAGATCATATCTTATTTCTTCCTTCGTTTCGGAGAGAAAAAAGAGAGGATTAGGGGGTTGGAATCGCTCCCAAACATTTTGTAAAGATGGGCTATCGTCTTAAAAAGCCCCCAAACATTCCGCGACCATCGATTATCGTCACAGAAAATCTACTTACATTCTGTGATGACAGACAATCCTCGCAGATTGTTCAAGGGACTTTCTGCGACGACAAACAACCATCGCAGAAAGAGTCCATACATTCTGCGACGACAGACAACATAGCAAAAGATTTCACACAATTTGCGACAAAAAAGTGAAATTCGTTATTGTACACTTTCTGCGACAAATTTCCTATCGTCGCTATAAAATTTGTCGCAAAAAGTGCAATTTCTTGTTGTGCATGGAGTGGGAGCACAGAAGAGGAGGCAGTGGGCCGGGGCGGTGCTGAAGTCCAGATGGAGGAGTGACAGCGTGGGAGTGGGCTGGGGGGCACAGGAAGGCCCAGACGGAATGGACTAGTAGAGGCCAGTAGCTACTAGGAGATGGGAGGAACTACCTGTGAGTGTAGTAATGGTCAGAGAAAAATCAAATAGCCAAGTCGCCGGCTATGGAAGCTCAGTGGAAGGAGTATAATGAATTCCTGGAAATTGATCCTCAACAAATATGACATGACGAGAAAAGAATATACGGCGAGTGTTAGAATCAAAACACCGATAAGCACTACGCTGAGGACAATATCCAAGGAAATGACACGATCGAGAACGAGGATCAAGTTTGTGCGAACAATAGGGACGAAGCCAAGGATAACAAAGACAGCCAAAGACACGAAGTTTATGATAGTTAGGAGAGAGATTGAAGAGAAGAGTGTAAGGAATTTTACCACGCAAGGCTGAGGATGGAAGATGATTTATGAGATAAATTGCTGTGGAAAAAGCAAAGGACCAAAAACCGGTAGGAAGGTGAGCATGATGGAGAAGAGTTATACTAGTTTCGACTAGATGACGATGCTTGCGCTCAGCAAGACCGTTATCTTCAGGTGTATGAGGAGGAGTGAGAAGATGAGTAATGCCATTGTCAAGAAGATCATAACGTAATTTTTTACATTCTCCACCACCATCAGTGTATAAACATCGAATAGTAGTAGAAAAATAATTTTAAACCATTTTTCTGAAATCGAAAAAAACTTGGAGAACATCGAATTTACGACGTAAAGGAATACCAAGTATACCGAGTTAAATGATCAATGTGATAGTCGGCTTTAATACATCTGATTCTTGAACTTTATGTGACTATCCCATGATACATTTAAGCCAATTGGTGCAATTTTAGGGCTCGCTAACCCGGGAATGGTTGAAAAACCATTACTGCCTAGTGCCATGAGTTTGATATGTTATATGTGGAGAAAGCACGAAAAAGAAGCGAGTGCACAAGCAATTAATTGGGCCCAAATTGCTTTGTCTCGGGGAGGAGACCCAATTGGGCCAGGAAGAGGAATTAAGTGGACATGGTCCATTTAGTTGGACCGGCCATCATTAACTTGGACATATTTGGAGGGGGACTACTAATTTGGAGGGACGGAATTTCTAGGGAAAAGGAGAAGCAGCTAGCGGAGGAATTGGATTGGGACACGGAAGCTTTGGGAGAATTCTTTTTGGGCGAAACGAAAGCAGAGGGCGCAGGAGGGAATTGGAGGAGGAAAATAATTGGAATTGCTTGGGGGGGGGGGGGGGATTAATATTCTCTTGGGACAGGCAATTAACGGGGGAAGAGAGAGCTGCGCTGGGAGACTTGGCGGAACGGAATTAGGAGGAGAATTCCTTTTGGGACGGCAACGAGCAGTATTGGAGAAACAGCACAGCGCAGCGACGAGAGAGCGGAGCGGATTGAATAATCACGAGCTGTCAGGAGAGAAGGAATCGACGAGCATCGTTTGGAAAATTCTCCGTATTTTTGTTCCTTCTCCTTTCATTAGCATGATGATTATGAACATGATTGTGTGTTTTATTTTCGTCATGAACTAAACCCCAATTTCTGGGGGAAACACAATAGGATGTAGCTATTTCTAGAGTTGATGGATTTATTCATGTCTCTTTTCTTCCAATCTCTATTGCATGGAATTGCTTAATGCTTTGTGTTGATTGGCCACCAATATAATGAATCGTAGTTAATTAGGTTATTAGCGACAGTGAAACCCTAATAACTAAACCTATTTCATGTGACATAGTAACTTATCGAAGCGACAATGGATTAAATAAGGTACTATGCGGTCTTGATTGGGATATCGTTCTTCAGGCTAAATAATTAACTCATTGAGCTACACAGTAGGATTTGATTTAATTGTTTAGCACGTAGTAATTCCCGACAGGGATAGCTAGCACAGTAGTGATATCCTGGCTGTAGAGATATGGATTAAACTTATTGGAATATGTGAATTAATTTGGATATGATAGGTAGTGAATTCCGGTGTTTCTCCCAGAGCTTTCTCCATTGAATTTCTCCCCACATTTTTTGTTTATTTAATTTTGCTTTTAGAAATTAGTTTATCTTTTAAACCATTTTCACTTGTAGTTTGCTCTATAAAATTGATAGAATATAAGGTTGTACCAGTCCCTGAGAGACGATACCCGGATTTCCGGTTTTACTACAAGATAGGAACTGAAGCTATACGCTTTTGCGCTATCAAGTTTTTGGCGCCGTTGCCAGGGACTGCCATACCTTATTTTTGTTGGTTTTTGTGAGTGAACTATTTTGATCTGGGTGTTAGTGTGCAGGTGAATTTTTCAGGTGTATCCTCCTCGTGCATGCCAAGGAGGACGACTGGCAATTTACTGCCACTTGATCCAGAGATAGAGAGGACCCGCCGACAGAACAGGAAGTAGGTCAAGTTAGGGAAGCAGCCTACCACATCCACAAATCCTAGGCCTTCCCTAACCAAGAATCGTCAACAGAGAGGGCAGGCTTCATCACCTGTCGTCCCTACACCACCGACACCACCACCTCGTGACATTGAGCCAGACATCATGGTAGACGAGGATCGATCAATCAGGGCTCGTTTGAATTGAAGGACTGGAGCCCGAGTTTCATGTGTTGTCATTCCGGCTGGGGATGCAACCATGGAAATTACCCCAGCATTCATCAATATGATCACCAATGGATATAATTTCTCCGGGGCTAGCAATGAGGATCCTCACGAGCATCTTTGCCGGTTCGCGAGCATATGTGATACGATGAAGAGCCCAACTGTGTCTGATGATGCAATTCGTCTTCGGATGTTCTCATTCTCTCTGATAGGGAATGCATCACACTGGTTTCAGAACTTAACACCACGTTCCATCACGACATGGGCTCAGCTTGAGAAGGTCTTTCTGGATAAATACTTCCCACCTGCCTTGGCAATGAAGAGGCAAGAAGAGATTGTTACTTTTAAGCAGGCTGATGAGGAGAGTCTGACTGAGGCATGGGAGCGCTATAAGGGGCTATTGATGAGATTCTCAAGCCATGGTCTTGAAGATTGGAACGTGATCATTATTTTCTTCAATGGAATCAGAAGGGAGTTTCGCGATGCCCTAAATAATGCTTCTCGAAATGGTTTCACAAGGATGGAAGCTCCAGCAGCATATGAACTGGTAGAGAAGATCTGTTCAGAAGCCACTGAATGGGGTAG